AATCGAACTATTTCTTGAAAAGAATTTTCTATTGTATCTTGATAAATGATGTTATTTTTGGCAGATGAAGGAACAACCTGTTCTTTATTTTGAAAATATTGGACTAATTCATACTTTATTTTATCCATAACATTTATAAATTCTTTTTCTATTGCATCTTTGAATAAAGTGACTGCATAATAATGTCTGCACTTATCTTGTAAAGAACCATTCCAAATGTACTCCCAACATACACATTCTCCAGTACTAATATTGCATAAATAGAATTTAGAATTAAATTCTATATTTTCTAATAATAAGGGTTTTAAAAGAAGATCAGCCATATTTTTGAGTTTACTTATAATTTGATCATCCACATTCACAGGTTTGTAATTATAAAAGGATATAAATGGTTCGTTATATAATTTTTTAATAAAAAAATATTTGAAACAGATGTTTTTTGTACTAAACTAAGAAGAAAATCCAATTTTCCTTGGTTTAATCTTTGCAATTTATTTGAGCATAAACGTGATTCAGTATGCTAAATAATATATAATAAATTAAATAAATTAGTTTACTGAATAAATTATTAATAATTTAAATAATAATAATTACCTCTTGTTCAATAGCTTGTGTATTAAATAATGTAACTAAATCAGATTCAAATATATTTAATCCACTATTATTCGTAATAGTATTACTTTAAAATTTTACACCATACATACGTTCAATAAATGATAATGGTGTTTATTTACCACTATATACTGTTTCTATTGTTCTATTTATTCGTTCAGTAAAATTATTTGTGATCCAAGGTAAATGATTTGTTAAATTATTAGAGATTGGAATGCGTCCTGCATCAATAAAACTTAGTCTCCATTCAGAACACATCCAGTTATTTGACATATCATCAATAATTTTTTTTTGTTTTATTTTTTCAATAGGTAATGAATTTATAAATTCATTAAATAATTCAACCATTTTAATAGCAGCTGTTTCAGTTCGATAATGCCCTACAAATTTAAAAGCTAATGCAATTGGATATCTAAGTAAAAATAAAAAATAAGATAAGATTACTAGTAATTATTATGTAATAATTAGAATTATAAATGACTTACCGGAATTGGACAGGTATATGCCAATTATTAAGATTTTTCTCATAAGTTTTCATTATGTGAAACCAACATAAAATAGGTCTGCATAATATATTTTGAATTGCCAATTTTGATGGTCTATGTTTGTTAATAATTGTGTATGGTTTCCAATTATTATTTTGACATTTACAAACTCGTTGAAATCCATTTCCTGAAATTAAGTTTTCATAATACCATCTATGTTGATATAATATCTCATTACAAGGAATATTTCTTTTAACAGCGATAATTGCTAGTTTTATAGTTTGATTATTTTCTTTGTTACTTAAAGCTATTAAAAAAATTTTTTTATATAAATAAATTAAATTACTAAAATAATTTTATTTTATTATTTTATAATATAATTACCAAATGCCAGAGGTAAACCATGACCAGCTCCATTTTCAAGAACAATTGATAATACTGGAGCTCGATCTGCATTTAAATCATATTTTCCATCAATACCAATGCAAATATTTCCATAATCACGTTCATTTTTAAGCCAAAATTCATCAGAAAAAGTTAGTTGATAATATCGATCAGATGATTCAATTGGCTAATCTAAATCTGATATCTGATAATATAATATATTTCCTTGCGATTTTAATAATTCATTAACCAAATTATTAAGTTGTGTTTATGATCCAGTATTATCTTTAAATTTTCTATCATCTCTTATAATAAGTCTTCGAAGTTTATCATTATCACAAATTTCACGCTGACTTGCTAATGCTTTACTAATTACTTCTTCTGATGCACCATTAAATGGAGTTAATAATTTGGCTTTTATTTCTTTAGCTGTTCTGTGATCTGCTCTTCTATTTAAAACAATTGAATCTCTAACAAAATAAGTTAGATTAATTCGAGAAATTTTAGGAATAATATTATTAAACATATGTTGAGATGGATGATGAGTTTCTTGAATAGTAATGCATAGTGGAGTTTCTGAATTTAACCACGATAATCGACATTTGGAAATAACTTTAACACTACATAAATGCATATCATTTGCATTTTTTAGATTATTATGTAACAAATAATAATCACAAGTTTCTAAATATTTTTCAATTCCACCACATAAATGTTGACAAATATCCCCATCGCCAGAGCAGTACATTACCCAATACCAGCACTGCTGATCTTTCTCTATTCCTAAATTGATTTGTAAAACTAAGTCTTCTCCTTTAGTAGTTAGAACTAATATATCATCTATTCTATTTGTAGATTTTTTAGTTCTGGTTGTGATGGTCTATTCTAAATAATCTATTGCTCCTTGTGTGCGTTCTATAATTAAAATATCATTTTTAACAAGTTTTGGAATAACCTGCCTACTTTGGTTTTTTAAACGATAATTTTGTAATAATGGTATATTAACTAAGTACCATTTTGCAGCATGGCCAAAGGGTAAATTAACAGAATTATCATCATTATATATGATTTGTTTTTCATAAGTTTCATAAGTTTCCATTTTTTTTTGTAAAAAAAAGTAAGAAAAAGAAAAGTTTTAGAACACGTTTTACATGACACGATATAAATTATATATTAATTAGACTTTTGTGTTACATTAGAGATCTATGAGCACATTTAACATTTTTAAAAGTTAGACGAATAATCAAAAAAGTCACAATTTTTTTTCGAATAATCAAAAAAATCACAATTTTTTTCTGAATAATCAAAAAAATCACAATTTTTTTCTGAATAATCAAAAAAATCACAACGATTTGTACAACTAACTTCTATAATCAAAAAATGCCATCTTCTTAATCAAAACGAATCATTTGCAATTGGAATATTTACAAAAATACGTATACAACCAAAAAGCATAAAGCAAAAATTGTAACGGACGGGTGGGAGGGGGGAAAATAAAGATCTTTTTTTGCAGACTTTTTATGAAATTCAAAGTGAACTTTACTCTTAATAAAAAATTTTAAATTTATCATTAATTATTATAATTAAAAAGCA